GGATGAGATGCTCGACTGTCATTTTTGCCCCAGTCTTTAGTGGCAAGACTTGTCTGAAGGAATCCCAAGCCCTTGAGACCAGAGGGAAAGTGTGGAGTGAGGAAGACTTGTTCTGGGTGGAAGAGGATCAGGCTAGGGAATATTTAAATGAACTGACCATGCACAAATCCATGAGACCTGATGGGAGACACCAGTAAGTGCTGAAGGCAATGACTGATGTCACTGGGGCCATTCTTGATTATCTTTGAAAGGGTCATGACAACCAGGAAGAGGTTCCAGAAGACTGGAAAAAAAAGCAAATGTCACTCCTGTCTTCAAGGAGGGTTAGAGGCTGATCAGCCTTGCCTTGATCCATCAGAATGTAATGGAGAAAATAATCCTTGAAATGTCTTCAAATTTATTAAGGACAGGAAGATGACTGGGAGGGAATCATTCCTGTCCTGCTTGATAGTCTTCTATGATAATTGGTGGGGAGAGTGGTGGATGTTATTTATCCTGTCTTGAGCAAAGCTTCTGATGGTCTCCCATGACAGCCTTATTGACAAACTGATGAAATATAAGCTAAGTAAGCGAACCTCTTATGATGGAATGAAAACTGGCTGAACTGCCCAGCCAAAGCCTAGCAATAAGTGGTTACATGGATGTTGATTAGTGGCCTGAAGTCCTTCTGGAGGCTAGTCCCTACTGATGTACCCCAGGGGTTAAAACTGGAACAATGGATGTTTGACATCTTCATTTATGACTTAGATGATGTAACAGTGTTCTTTCAGGAGGTGTGCAGAAGATATAAAACTGGGATTAGTAGCTGATACACCAGTTGGGTGCACTGCCACCTCTGAAATTTGACCTTGACAGCTGAAGAAGTAGACAAATCTTACAAATACCAAGCCCCGCCCCTGGGGAGGAATAACTCCCTAGTAGATGCTGGGGGCTGATGGACCGGAAAGCAGCTTGGCAGAAAAGTCCCTGGAATAGTCTTGTTGAACAAGTCAGACACAAGCAGCATTGTGTCATTGTGGCCAACAGTGTTCAGGGCTGCATTAGGAAGAGTGATAACAGATCAAGGGTGGCAATTTCTCTAAGCTGCCCTGGTGAGACATACCTGGAATGCCATGACTTCTGTACTTGGTAGCCCAGAACCAGACATGGACATACCAGAGTCCAGCAAAGGTTGTGAAATAATGAAAGGATCGGAGCATCTGATGTATGAGGTGAGGCAAGGAGAGCTGGAACTGCTGAGTCTGGAGAAGAGAAGGCTCAGCGGGATCTTATCCACGTGTACAAATACCTGATGGGAGAGAGCAAAGAAGCTGCACTGTGGGTCTTCTCAGCAATATTCAGTGGCAGGGCAAGAGGCAATGGGCACAAACTGAACTATGTGAAGTTCTATCTAAATATAGGAAAGCACTGTGAGAGTGGTCAGACAATGGAATAGGTTGCCCGTGGAGATTGTGGAGTCTCCACCCTCAAAGATATCTATCCTGGGCTTAAACTACGACAATATCTGAAACTCAACTTGACATAGTTCTAAGCAACCTGCTGTAGTTGACCCTGCTTGTGAGTAGAGGATTAGACCAGATGATCTGCAGAGGTCCCTTCCCACTTCAGTCTGTGATTCTGTGACCTTAACTGTTAACAAATAATGGACTGGTCATAGCATGGAAGTGTCCAAAATAATCCATATTCTCTGGGGTATATGGTATCAGCCAAATTCTGCTCCAAACTTCCTTGTTGTGGTTCTTGTTGACTTCTATGGAAGCTCTGTATACCAGCTGCTCTGTTTCTGCAAATAATCAGCAGAAATTTATGGCAAATATTGAAAATTATTAGATTTCCAAATTCAGCTGTCTAATATGCATGTGAACTGACTGCACTTGTATTGATTAGTACAGTAGAAAAGCTGGCACTGCTGTTTTGTAGTAGCTAGCTACTAAATGTCTCTGTTTTCTGCTATTCTGCACAGTATTTGCACAGAGCACTACTGAATGAAAGTTCAAGAGGTTTAAAATGTGTTTGCAGTGGTTCAAGGTGATAGAGCTATCCCTGAAACAATGGCAGATTGAGCTTCTCAACGGTAGAGCTGAGAACTCTGACATACTCCAAAAGTTTGACAGCTTGGAAGCTATCATGATAGTGGTGGGGTGAATATGGAGTACTTAAACTCCTTTCTTATTCAGAAGTATACCATAAGACTGTTCTGAAACTATTTTAAATGGTTTATGGGAGCTCCTTCATACGAGTTGAACTCCTTGACAGGTTTCTTTTCAAAGGTAACTGTCATAAATTATTTTTGCTTGTAATTCTGAAGCACCAGAAATTTCTAAACAGCACCAGATGAATAATAATGAAAATAATTATCAGACTTCACAGTACCTGTTTTTGAAAGAGTAGAACTAACTAGAAGCGTGTCGATTGCTTAGTTTATGTATCTATAACCTCTTATTGCCACCATTTTGAATTAGTGGCCTACAGTCACATATTCATTTATAAGGAACTGATCACAATAATGTCTCTCTTGACAGTTCCCAGGCTATCTATCTTGGTGGCTCCATATTATAATCATCATCTCTTGGACATGAAATGTGATGTAGGGCTACATTACTTTGATCTGTGTACTTCCTAAATGCTGTTAGAGAAAACTGTGACTTCCAGTTGCATCCCTTATTTAGTTATAAACAGTTGTGAAGTTAAAACAATCTGTAAACTAATTTATATGACAACCAAAAATATGGCCAAAATATGGCTTTTCTACCATAGCCTACATCTGTGGTACAGAATAAGGGAGTGAAGAAAGAAACCAACTGGACTGTTCCACAGAACAGCAGCTTTCCTGAGTAATTTCATCCTGAGGTGCAATATTTCCACTGAACCTGAGTTTGGTTCAATGAGGGGTAGTGGTGGGGGCATCTGTAAATAACTTCCCAGCTGTAGCAGTTCTTTCTTTTACTATCTTGCTGCTAAAATTTTGCTTTTCCTTCATACTAGCTCATTAGTTTTAGCTAATTATAAATTAAATGTCAAGAGGATTGCTTTTCCCCTTCCTATAAAACCAGGAAAAACTACTTCAAGCCTACTGGACTTTCTCTCTGCCTGTTCCCAGGATTCTGCTGTTCTGATAGAAGTGTCATCCTCTTCTAGCTGGAAGTTTAAAGAAACTGGACTGACAGCGGAAAGAAGGTGGGGACAATTTTAGAACTGAATTTATGCATAAGCAGGGAAAGAACTGGAGAATTGACACAGAGTGCCCAGGGTGATCATGGATCTGTTTTCAGAGATATTCCCAACTTGAGGAGGCCCTCAACTGCCTTCTAACTTAGCAGAAGGTTGTATTTAGTGACCTCCTGAGGTCAACCTCAATTACCCCACGAGTCTTAAAGGTGAGGGACAAAAATCAAAGAGGAACATAATAGAACGAGAAGGAAGGTAGCCATAGAGCTAATCAGAACTTCTACTAGGTGCGTCATCCCTCCCCAGGCTATTTTGGTTTGGAATTAGATGTGAATTTAATCCAACTTTTTGGGTGGTTTAGGAAGAAATCACTGCAGTTGTGTGTAGCTCTCCTGAACAGTATTCATCTGTATTAATGGAGGCCCAGCTCTGGTTTCTTTTGAATGGACAGCCCACAGTGAAGCTGTAGAGACTGCTCCCATCATCCATAAATGATTAAGGATATGTGGGGGAAAATGCTGAAGAAAACAGGGGGAAAAAATGAAATAGGGTGAAAGGTTAATCTATAGAGTAATTCCAGTTTATTTCCTTCCTATGTTAATACTGAGGCATGACACTATCACAGTATGCTGCTGCTCCTCACTATGTGAGGTAGGATAAACGTTTGATTAGCATGAGCATCTGCTGAAGTTCATGTTTCTGAGTCATCCTATGTGGAACTGTAACACTTCCTACAAGCTACTTAAATGTATGGAAGTAGCATGTGAATAAGTGGGTGTGACTCCCTAGTCTGGGGGTTTACACACTTGACTGGGAGCAAACCCGCCTGGGTTGCTGCCCTCATGAATTATTAGTACAAATTAATTAATGTAAATTCAACAAAGCTGTTGAAATAGCATCAACAGAAGAATGTAAGATCTCCTACTCCAGAGACACTGTAGTTTGTTGTCAAAATAATATTATCGGAGAACAAGAGGTGTAAGTTCAAATCCCCTCAGGTAAAGATGAAAATCGGGCCTAAGGCTGCCAAGTACTTGCGTGCATCCTAACCACTTAGCTCTTGGCTAAAAGGCCAACCCCCTGGCAAACCTCCGTTTTCAGTACTGCTGCTTCCGCAGGTGCTCAAGAGGAATCATTTGGTTTCAAGCTGCTAACAAGTCAATCACTTGAAAAATCTTAATAAAAACACACACACACATACAAAACAAGGGGGGGGATTTGCTGGCATTTGAACTTCAATTGAGGAACTGATTATACCACCTTACAATGGAGTGTTTCTCTCAGCACCGTTTTGCCTTGCCAGTGACTTAGCAAGTTGTGTAAAGAGGAGACTTGGAATAAACCCCAGCATCCTTACATCTTAAGGACTGGAGGGTGATTGGATTTGCACAGCAAAATAAGCCCCCCGGGCTTAAGAAGGGAGAACACCCACGATGAGGAAAGAATACAGATTTCAGTCGAGGAGGAGAAAATGAAGGGAAAGTTAAAGAGGTTGAAATCGTTCACCTGTACAACGAGCAGCGTAGCCTTTTCGGGCAGATGCCGCTCTCCGCACGCAACTAGCTTCATGCGCCCAGACCTCTCCGGTCCGCCTCGCCATCCGCTCCCGAACGAGCCCGGCGGCCGCTGAGCGATAACGGCCAACAGCCCTGCCTCACGCTCCCTTCAGAGCCCGGGGCTAGCCCCAACCGTCCCCGCGCGCCGGCCTCTGACCCGTACGGGCTGCCCCTGATTAGCCCGCTCCCGCCGGAGAGGGGGGGCGCCATGCAGCTGGGGAGCCAATCAGGAGCCGGGGCTGCCCAGCTCTGCCCGCCTCGTCGGCGAGGCGGGCGCTGGCGGTGGGGGCTGCCGGGGCGCCGGGGGCGGCAGGGCGGCGCGGCGGGCACCGGGCGCGGGCACAGCTGCGGGCACTAGCGACGCCGGTGCCGCCGCCGCTGCCGCCACTGCCACCGGGCGGATCCACGCTTCAGCCGGAGCTTCTTTCGTCGCTTTACTTTCGCGGCCCGGAGCAGGGACATTATGCCGAAGAGAAAGGTAAGGCGCCTCGGGCGTGTAATGGGTCCTGCCTCCGCGTCTCCCCCGGGCAGAGCCGGTGGGTGAGCTGCGCGCTGGGGGCCGGGGACGCCCGCTGCTCCGCCGCCGCTGTGCCGTGCCGTGGCTCGCGGATTGCTCCCTCACACGGGTATTTTGCTGCCTGTTGCAAGCCCCCTCCACCCCTCCCAGCACTGCCGCCCCCTGTTTACTTTCCCAGTGCCGCGCGGGGCTGCATCGCCCCCGTCCCCGGGGAGTGAAGGCGCGATCACAACTCCAGGCCCCCCTCCTCTCCCTCCGCCACTGGGGAGAAGCGCTGCAGCAGCTGCGGCTTCGCCCCTGGCCCCCGGCGGGCGGAGTTTCCTGCTTGCAAACTCCGCGGAGGGGGGGAGCGGCGGGGAAGGGGCAGCCCCCACCCCGGGGCGGCTGGATTTTGCTGCGGCCACCTCTCGCCGTACCCGGGTGATGGCTCCGAGGGTAGAAGGGAGGAGGGAGAGGCAAGCCATGTTTAAAACAAACTACACCCTTCTCCTCGCCTCCCGCGGCAGACCCGTATGTACCAACTCCGGCGCCCAACCAGGCAGGGCCCCCGGGGGCGGGGAGGCGCCTCCTGAGGGGGCGCGCGCGGCCCCCGCCGCCTCCCCGCCGGGCCGGGAGCCCAACGACGAGGGTGAAGGGCCATGGCCGGTGTCTCCCTGTCGCTGTCCGTTTTCCGCGCTGCGGGCATCTCAGGGCGGACGGCCGTCTCGGGAGGGAGCTGCCGGGGGGGGCCGGTTGTGAGACCGAAGGGACAGGAGAAACTTAGGCGCGGCCCTTCGGCAGCCGGGCTCGCTGTGGTGGGGTTTGGTGGCTTTTCTGTCACTCTCTTCGCTGCGCGGCGTCGTGGCCGCGGGCAGCGGTTGCGGTCCGGCAGAAGGCAGGCTGAGGGCGGGCGGCGGCAGCTGGCCCCCTTCCTGGCGAGCGGCGGAGGGGCGAGCGCCCGGCCCTCGGGGTGCGCACCCGCGGGAGGCCCCGCTGGAGGGGATCCTCGTCAGAAACTCGCCGCCTTGCCTTCTGCAGGCGCCGAGTGAGGACAGCAAGGGGCTTGGCACTGATACACGCAGTGCCAAAAAATCATAGCTGCGGTCATTTAATTGTAACTAGGTCAACCAAAGCAAAGCAGTTTGTGTTTTGGGGGATTTCCCAAATGTCACCTGTGACCTCCTAATACACCCTAATTCATCACTTTAATAAAGTTATAATGGCTTCCAGGGAGCTCTGTTCAGCTGTTGTCCTTTCGTTATTCTTCATGAGAGGTGTCCAAGTGTCAAATTGTCGAGTACACTGCTGAATTATTTAATTCATTGTTAAGAACGTGATTCTAGTCCTGAAAATGGATACAGCTGTGGGGCTGACTGTGTTTATTGGGACAGTTGGGCTTGGAGTTATGGAATGCTTTTCCTCTTGCTCTTCTGTCATTGCACCCTCATGTAGGCCTCAGGTAGTGTTTCTGCTGTTTTAGCACCGTTGCTTATCATCACAGAAAAGTTGAAAATCAGCATGTGCCCATTGGACTGTCCACAACTTCTGAAACTTCCAATCCTGTTTCCTTTGCCCTTTTGCGTTCTTACGCTGTGGATAACATTTCAGGCTGGCCTGCGTAAGAGGGGGTAGAATTAAAGTCACTCTTGTAGGTTTTTTGTGGTCTGTTGTGAAATGTTTAACAAGAGAAATGATCTTGGAGTAGTAAGTCCACACAAATGAGTCTTCTTTCTAGAAAGATTATAAAAAGGTAATAAAAACATTGCATATGGGATCAGAGCAATGGAAGTGAATTTTAATGGTACAGTTTTAATTTCCTTAGCATTGTACAGGTAAATGTTTAAATTAAAAAGATTATACGTGAATTATGGGTTTTGGGTAACACTGGTTCCAGGAAACGTGTGTTATTAATGGCTTTGCTTTTTGAGAAAAAGTGAAATTGCCCCAAGTATTCTACAGTAGTCAATTTTTGCTCCAGAAAAACATCCACAGGGTGAGAAGATAATCATGCAGTGATAGCTGAATGATTACACCAGTCAGCTTCCACATGGAGACAAAACCATCACATGCAGTGCCTAGTCAGTTCTTCTGTTAAAATTTCTAACTTATATAAACCCTTCTAACACTTAAAGTTTTATAAGGAAATAAACTTCAAAAGTCAAAATGAGAAATCTTGACAGTTATGGAGGTAAATAAATAAATCATATTGCAGAAAGGGCACAAATCCACCTGTACCTGTTTTTATGGATGCCTTGGTTATCTAAACTGGCTGGTCCTTTCTCTTCGATTTTCTTTTCATGTCTGATTTTTCTTTTTCTTTTTTTTTCATCTCCATGTAACCAAAAGTCAGTTGCTGAGTCCCTGGCCTTATTATTAGTATTATGAACAAAAAAATATAGTGCTGTCTCCCCATGTCTAGAGGGCTGCAGCCCCAGGTATTGGGATGTTGTTACTCATTGCTTGAGGGTTGTGGGGAAAAGGAAAAACTTCATGTGTGTTGAGATGGTGTTAAATACTGTGCTAAAACAAAAAGGTGTTGAACTCTGGACTCCTGTCAGATTACTGCATCCTTTATCTGGTGTAATAATATGTTGTGTGAATGTGGCCTTTCACAAGAAGAATGGCATGACAGTGTGGGATAAACCAGAATGCTTGTTGTGGTATTGATAGCAATGGAATGAATTGAGGTGTTTTGTTTTGTCGCTTGCTCAAATTAACTCTTGGGTCATGTTGGAAAACACCTTGACCTTGAAACGGCCCAAACAAAACTGTCTCGATGTCAGCCATAAAAGGATGAAGGTCCATTCCATACCTGATGGTGAGGAGGATCGTGGTACGGTCACAGACGCCTGTCTTTATAAGCATACATACATCAGCTTTAATGTGGTCATCATCAAGATGACTGGTACTTAGCCCTTTAAGTAGAATGTGCATCATCTCTGAGGGACCTTAACGGATTGAGTGGTAATTTGTTCAGTACTGGTTGGGGAGCCTCTTAGTTGGGGTTGCACTCCAAAATGACCCAACTTGTTCATTAATCTGATGCTGTGAAACACAGCCTACACCTGACACATTGTTCTGAAAACACTTGGAGTTGAATCAGATGTGAGGACTAAATGTAACTTTTCCAAGTTTTGTTGGTTTTTGTAATATCTTTAAATATTGCTGTTGCTTCAGAGCAAATAAAAATATGGTTCAATTAGCCATTTCTGTAGGCTATTCAACACTTCTTTGTAGTCAGGAATGTTAGTTTCTGCAATACAGTTGATGCTGTGAAAATGTAATGGAGAACATCTGTGGCAGGTTCCTGTTCTGTTATGCAAATTCATTTTCTTTAAAGTCTGAGACACTAGTTAGTTATATTTACTACAGAAAAACAAACCCTCTAAGTATTTTGTTCGGAATGCTGCTTCTGTAGTGGAAGTTAGAAGGTGCAATATTTCAGAGTTGTCCTATCATGGTGCATTTAGTTACATGATCACATGCTAGATTTTTTTAGTGGGACTCTTACCTGGTTGGCAAAACAACTAGTAAGGTCAGTCAATGTGTTTTCTAGTCCTTGGAGTTAAACACATATCCTTACATTTACAAACCTAGAGCTGTTAAATTCTACTTTTCCTTTTTTTTCTTGACCTGAACTCAATTCTCTTTGTGAAATTCTTCTACATGTTTGAGTTGCGTTTCTGAAGTGTTATGAATACTCAAAGATAAATGTTGTTCCTCATTCACTGATGGAGGGGTAAAAAATCTGGACAGACATCTTAAGCTGAGAATCCAAGATGAAGGAACCATTCCAACAGCTTGGCCATTTACTTCTGTGCCCCGTTTCCCTACCAAGCACCTTCTGCACTCAAGTGGTGCATTTATTATTACTTCTCCAAATCTGCTGTCTTGCTTTGTGGTGTGTACGTAGAGGAACTTGCAGTAGTGACCAGTTCTCTAAAATTTTGTTGGAGCAACTTGTATGTGATCAAATACCAATTAACTAATGAAGCTGAGGGTTCTGCAGATGACAGTTCTGTTTGCTGTGGCTCTCAATGTTCGCTGTTGCTCTTTGGTCTGTAGAATGAGGTGTAGATCTTGTGCAAAGAGTAGCAGGTGAGTTTGTGTTCATGGTGCAGGAGTATGAAGTACACTGAAGTGCTGTTCAGCTGCATTTCATGTGCATTTCCATGTTTTAATACTTAAGCTGTGTATCAGTCTGTGTCAGTTCAACGTACCACGTGTAACATAGTGGTTATCTTCATTTTGAAGCTACTTGGCAGGAGAGCAGTTCCAGTGATGTTGTGAGGACACTCGCCTTCTTAACAACTTGTTTCATTACTAGGGTTGGAAGCTCTCTGTGGCAGAGGCACACTTCAGTTTTGCCCAGAACACAACTAACCACACATTGGTAGCAGTGGGATGCAGAAATAGGAGAGGTTCTGTATTTTATTTCATCATCTGGAGGTGATTAGTAGGGTAAAGGGGCTCAGTACAAGATCCGTATGTGTTGGCTGCTGCCCTCTCCCCACTCCTGTTTTGTTCCACTTCTCCTTCTAGACTTTTGCTTGAACTCCCCATGTTTCATGCTAACTGCTTACTGCTTCCTCCTTTCTCCTTGTGCAACTGAAGACTAAGAGCAGAAGTCAGAGCTATGAAAAGGTAGATCTTTTTCCACTTTTCCTATTAGATCAATCCTAGACCACTTAGTTACTACTGGAAAACAGGGTAGGCAACAGCCAAAGATAGCCTTCTTTGCATCTGCATTGCTGAGGTACCCCTGAATTTGACAGACTCCTGCCTAACCTACCAGCAGAGCCTTCATGTGGGCTTCTACCTTCAACATCCTATGCAGGGACAGGTAAAATGATTGCTTTGTAAACATGCACTTAACATTCAAGCACAACGAAGAGGTGCCTGAGCAACTTAAAAGATTGCAGAAGTCTGCTACAAGAGAAGAGGAAGTTTTCTCACCGATTTTAGAAATTGTACCACTTGTA